CCTTATATTAAATAAAAATAATATAAAAAACGGCCTTTAGAAAATAACCCAAAAAAGACAACAATCAAATGTGACATTGAGATATAATCATATTTTAAACCTGAACCACCAAAATCGGCAAAAAAAAAAACTAAAACTGAAATGAAATGAAATGAAATGAAATCATGAACTAAAAAAATATAGAGTAGGATATTACTGAAAAAACTACTCCCTCCGTCCCTTAAAACCAAGCTCGTCCAAACTGTACGAGGAAATTGTGCTAATTACTATAACTAGGCCTTATCCAGGCCTTATGTAATAAAGAAGTTGCACATTTATAATCAACAATTGCATTTTAATTAAATATAAATATTAGTATTTATTGTTTGTATTTAAAAACAAAATACGAGTACTAAAATAGGAATCTTTAATCAAATAAAAAAGAATTTATATACTATGTAGACTATATTTAAAATTTTGGGCCTTTTGAATCGAGAGGCCTTGTGCGGTAGCACTTCTTGCACGCCCTCATTTACGGCCCTGCATACAATTAAACTCAATAAATAATATATTATGAATATTACATGTAGTATGAGTACAGTCCAATAATCTAACAATAATTATATATGAAAGATGTGATAGATCTTCAAATATAATGTAACTTCGAAAGATTAGATCTTCAAATATAATGTAAATTCGAAAGATTATTGAACAAATATCTAAATGTATATATTACATCCAGCACTTTATTCCTCATATTTGGCATCATATCCTCTAACATCACTAAAAGTAATATTTCATTCTTCTTTTAAGATTGTAATTTTTTATTTTTAGTAGATTCATTGAAATTGTCTCATACCCAATTCAATTGGATAATGTAACGTTTGTGTGATTCTAAATTCTTTTCACTTTATTCTTACTTTATCAATTCAATATCAAAGATATATAAATTCATTTTTCCTAATAGTCGCACCACATCATTTTATACTAATGTCAGGAGAACGGAGATGGTGCTATTTTTTAATTTTTGGACTTTCTCTCTTTCTTATACTCCGTGGTATTTGTCCTGTTAAATGTCAACATTCTTGACTGGGACGAATTTCGAACATGTATGCGATCTCCTCTTTGCGAGTGTCACAGTGATGCCATTGAACCATAAGGTGCTTGACAAGTTTCAATGTGTATATATCTAGTTGAGCTCAACTATATATATATATATATATATATATATTGGTTCAAGTGAGAAATGCATCTAATGTGAGAAATGAGAAAGAATCTCAGCCATTAGATTCGCGAAGTTGCACTAAAATGATTTGATGTTGCAGTGATATTTAAATTTTGCACATGTTGCACTAAAACTGTTCATGTTGCACTAATATTTGACGGTGTTGCACCGAAATAGCTTCATGTTGCACTAGACACGTCTAATATGGATTTTTCAGAAGTATTTACAGAAATGCCACCGTGCTAGATTGCATATTTCAGTACATCATCAAGTGTCTTTTACAGCAACTTAGTCAAATCCAATGGTTGAGATTCATTCTCATTTTTCACCTAAAGGGTTCTTCTCACTTGAACCTTACCCTATATATATATATATATATATATATATATATATATATATATATATACATATATATATATATATATATAGAGTAGTCTTCCGGTCAGGTATACCTGACCGGAGCCCCGTCCGGCCTCCTCCATTTGGGGGCCTTCCCGGTGGTATTTTTTGCTCAAATTTTTTGTGTAGGTTCCTTATCAAGTCTAGTTCATCCATACCAAATTTCAGCCAAAAATTCAACCGGGAAGGTCGTCAAATGATTTTTGCAAGTTAACTGGTCCGGAAAATACATATTCCGGACCAGTTAACTTGCAAAAATCATTTGACGACCTTCCCGATTGAATTTTTGGCTGAAATTTGGTATGGATAAACTAGACTTGATGAGGAACCTACACAAAAAATTTGAGCAAAAAATACCACCCGGAAGACCCCCAAATGGAGGAGGCCGGACGGGGGGAGTGGTCCGGCCTGGCCGGACCTGAATAGTTGTGTATATATATATATATACATATATATATATATATATATATATATATATATATATATATATATATATATAGAATAGAGATCAAATACAAAGTCTTCTTAATTTACAAAGTACAAATTCATCTTGACCGTCCGATGAGTTGATCCAAAGGACATAAAGGCAAGGTGGCATTTTTGTAATAAAACCCAACTTTTTAGGGTGCAACTCGTTGCACCTTAATGTGCAACTGTTATTTTTATGACTTTATAATGTGCAATACTTTGAACCTCAATATGCAATGCAAATAACGTCAAGGTGCATCGTACAAATATTTGCACAATAAGCACACTTTGTACTTGATCTTTCCCCTATATATATATATATATATATATATATATATATATATATATATATATATATATATATATATATATATATATATATGTGTGTGGAAGGGTTCAAGTAAAAAGTAACTTTCCCATGAAAAGTGAGAAGAAATCTTAACCTTCACTCACTTGTAAATGGATAGATTAGATGAACTTTAATCACAAGATACAGACTCAAATAATGTGCAAACGTTTATAGTACAAAGTGGATATTAGATGGATAAAAGTGCACTCATAAGACTCAAAGTGCACATTATACATATATATATATATATATATATATATATAGAGAGAGAGAGAGAGAGAGAGAGAGAGAGTAATCTTCCGGTCAGGAATTTCCTGACCGGAGCGCCGTCCGGCCTCCTCCTTTTGGGGGCCTTCCCGGAGATATTTTTTGCTCAAATGTTTTGTGTATGTTCCTCATCAAGTCTAGTTCATCCATACCAAATTTCAGCAACCAATTCAATCGGTAAGGTCATCAAATGATTTTTGAAAGTTAACTGGTCCGGAAAACACATATTCCGGACCAGTTAACTTGCAAAAATCATTTGACGATCTTCCCGATAGAATTTTTTTACTGAAATTTGGTATGGATGAACTAGACTTGATGAGGAACATACACAAAAAATTTGAGCAAAAATACCACCGGGAAGGCCCCCAAATGGAGGAGGCCGGACGGGGGTTCCTGTCCAGAAATTCCGGACAGGAATATTCGTGTATATATATATATATATATATATATATATATATATTTCCCCGAAAAAACCACCAGAGAAGGTGGGGCAAACGTCGGGGGCGTTTGCCGATTGATATTATTGAGAAAAGAGAGTACAAAACAGAACAAGGGGGACCAAATCGAGACCCGTTCCGTCAGAAGCCCTGGGACTAATTACAATCTAATAAAAGGAATTCCTGATGAGTCGTCTAAACAAGCCCTTTTAACAGTCGGAGGTAGATCATTAAATTTGGGAAAACATTTGAAAGAGCCGTTCTCTAAATCTAAATGGGCCAGTTGGTGTGCGACCCCGTTGGCCTCCCTGTGAGTGTGGCGGAAAACAAGCCCGTGATTGATCATGTCCATATATATATATATATATATATATATATATATATATATATAGGGAAGAGTTCAAGTAAAAAGTAACCTTCCCATGAAAAGTGAGAACAAATCTTAACCTTCACTCACTTGTAAATGGATGTATTAGATGAACTTTAATCACAAGATATGGACTCAAAAATGTGCAAACATTTATAGTACAAAGTGGATATTAGATGGATAAAAGTGCACTCATAAGACTCAAAGTGCACATTTTATGTACTGTTATGCACTTTTGTGCTCTGCATGTGCACTTTTTGCATATTTTGATACACTTTTCGACTAATATTTTTATTAAAAGTTCTTCATAATTACCAAAATTCCATCGTGTTTTTCACTTAAAATTTGATCTCTTCAATCCATTTTTTCATATCAATGGCCAATATTAGTTCTTCTTTTTCACTTAGGAAGTACTTTTTATTTGATCCATACTCTCTCTCTCTCTCTCTCTCTCTCTCTCTCTATATATATATATATATATATATATATATATATATATAGGTGTTTCCCCTACAAAATGCAAAATCATCTCATCCGTCCAATTTTTTAAAATCAAGGTTAAGATTTGTTGAATCTCCTAAAAATCAGCCGTACCATTCAACCAAATAAGTGGGGAGTTTCCTCATCCACACCATTCATCTCATTCATGCGGATGATCAGGATTAATTTGCACTTTGTAAATTAGGATTAGTTTGTATGTGATCCTAAATCAATATGTGTGTGTGTAGGTTATATGTATTCACTTTTTTAAAAATGGTTGCGATTAGGAATTTATCATGACGGGCCTCTAACCTATTGTTACATTTGCAGTCAGAAATATTATGTGACTTAGGATCAGGCCTATATATACTCTTCGTTCCTTAAAATTTTGTCAACTTTTCTTTTTAGTTGTCCCACTAATTTTGTCACTTTCATTTTTAAGTAAAAAAATTGTAATTTTGGTTAATTTTCTCTCATCTGCGCAAATCTGTATCATACAGTTTTTACTTTATTAATGTATAAAGTAAAATCTTGACAAAGTTTTAAGGGACTATTTTATAATGTATGTTCGTCTAGGCCTAAGCTATATATTTACAATTTGTTTTTTTTATTTGTAATTCCTATATACATCCACAAATAAATAGTTGTGCACTTGTGCATTTGTGGTTCAACCATCATAACGAGAAGGAAAAATGAATAATGAACAATAGTTGTGCATTTACGGAGTACATCTTGACGAGGAGGAAAAATGGATAAAGAAGCTAGATTGCAATCATATGTTATATTCTGATTATCACATCAAATTTATAATCACATGAAATCTTAGATCCATTCATCAGTCAATCACTTAGTAGTAATAATAATGATGAAGTTACAATTGAAGTGTCTTATCGTAGGCTTTCACTATCACTGTATTAAGATTCATACATTGCATTTAGGAAAATGCTATGTGTACACAGCATTGTACACACCACACTACACATCATAAAAAGACCCACCCCTCTTTCTAACTCACCCCACTTTTGAATTAATCCACCCCACTCCCTCTCTTCTCTCCCCTTTATTCCCAAACGAAAATGCCTGTGCAGATAACAAATTGTCTGTCCATTTTTTTCATTTGTTTGTCATCCCTTATCTCTCTCAATTCCAACGAGCGGCAGGAAGCGAGTAAGACGTATGGCGGTGGCGGCGACGACGAACTTGGCCTGGGCTGGAATCAAGGGAGGATATATTCGGGCCGAGTCCCGGGGACACGCCATCTGCGGTGGAAGCTTTCTCCCTGCCCTTTCTATGCGGTAAGCTCTCCTTCTCCCTTTCTTTATTTTCTTTTCATTCTTCTGCAACAGCTCCTCTCTTTTTCCCTCTTTTTTTTTTTCATTCTTCTCCAACTCCACATCCATTCAATTTTTCTTCAACTATACTTTTTCATTTTTATGCCTCTAAGATGTTTGTTGAAATGCTCAAATGAACTCATTTATTTATAACCATGATTTTTTTGTATTCTTTCTCTTTTTCTAAAAATATATTTGTATGCTTGATGGGTTTGTGCCTATAAGGTGTTTGTTGAAATGTTTCAATGAAATATTTCATTCATATCCATGAATTCCATGAATTTTTTGTGTTTTTCTCTTTTTTTTTTGTTAATGTGTTTGTGTTTGATCTTGGTTTAACTGTTTTTGACTATTTAATTGAATATTATGATTCTTTGTTTGTTATTAAGATACTAGTCTACTAAGTGTTGTTAATATTTTTCAGAGATGTCTGTGTAGTGTGTTCTTATATGTTTGTCCATTTTTTAGTTGTCTATATAGTTTTCCTGAAATGTCTGTGTAGTTTGTTGTTATACGTTTGTGGATTTTCTAGTTGTTTTTATGGTTTTCCGGAGATGTTTGTATAGTGTGTTGTTATATGTTTGTGCATTTATTAGTTGTCTATATAGTTTTCCTGAAATGTCTGTGTAGTTTGTTGTTATACGTTTGTGCTTTTTTTTACATTTTGCATAGAAAATTGAAATTCTTTTTCTGAGTTTTTTTATGTATGTACTCCAACTGATATCTTCATCTTTTGTTGAAAGTAACAGCAGGAACAACATTTTAGGGGTGCATTTGGACCATAGCCAAATAGAAGAAACACATGAAGAATTATAACTCAGACATAAAGAGAGAAATTGCTATGGTTCTGCCAATGGTGTATTAATCTTTTTGATGCGTTCTTGAGAAGTTGGAGCAGTGACGTTCAGTTACCATATTTGTGATTTAGTATTCAATTTCTCATATAGTTAATGATACAAATGATTCAGTCGCATATCAGTACTCTAAGTGTATTTGCAAAGATAAGTTTTGACCAAGTGTTTGTGTACATATAATATTTATACAATTTAAATTTTGACTATACATAAATAATTTTTATACAAATTTTGTCTGTGTACTAACAATTTCTATATAAGTTTTGTCTGTGTACAAACAATAATTATTGTTTATGTGTTTATTTATTTTGTTTGTGTGTGATTGAATTATTATTTATTTTGTCTATGTGTGGTTGAATTATTATTTATTTTGTTTGTGCATAGTAAATAATTGTTTGTATGTGCGTGCATATTTAATCATTGTTTGTATGTAATTTATATTGTCTGTGACCAGACAATAGTTGATTGTAACATAAAAAAATCCTTGTGTGCTCAAGCATAAATATTGTCTAGACACAAACAATATGACCTGCATATTAAAAATCAAAATTGGTAATATTAAATCAAAATCAATTGACTTGTTCTTTGCACAAGCAACCATCTTGGACATGTATTGTTTATGAAATTTCACCCGCCTAATTTAATACATTTGACATCGGTAAAGATATAAGAAGCCAACATTTATATACCACATAGACGTTTTCTGTAACGAATCACATATTTTAATTATAAACAGTTACCAATATTACAACACAACATTACTCATTTTCAAAGCTAAACATACACCACCATTTGAACTCATTTTCAAAGCTAAATATACACCACCATTTGAACTCATTTACTGATTTGATCCTTCATCATCATGTCTTTTTTGAGCTTCCTATTGATTTTGACCATATTTCCTGGAGACATTTGTTTTCTTTTGGTGGCAAGGATTATCCTCCTCATGACAGAAAATGTCATAACTGAACGTCACTGCTCCAACTTCTCAAGAACGCATCAACAAGAGTAATACACCATTGGCAGCTTTATGTGTGGACCATAGCATCTCTGGAAAACTACACAGACATTTCAGGAAAACTAAATAGACAACTAATAAATGCACAAACATATAACAACACACTATACAAACATCTCCGGAAAACCATAAAACAATTAGAAAATCCACAAACGTATAACAACAAACTACACAGACATTTCAGGAAAACTATATAGACAACTAAAAAATGGACAAACATATAAGAACACACTACACAGACATCTCTGGAAAATATTAACAACACTTAGTAGACTAGTATCTTAATAACAAACAAAGAATCATAATATTCAATTAAATAGTCAAAAACAGTTAAACCAAGATCAAACACAAACACATTAACAAAAAAAAGAGAGAAAAACACAAAAAAATCATGGATATGAATGAAATATTTCATTGAAACATTTCAACAAACACCTTATAGGCACAAACCCATCAAACATACAAATATATTTTTAGAAAAAGAGAAAGAATACAAAAAAATCATGGTTATAAATAAAAGAGTTCATTTGAGCATTTCAACAAACATCTTAGAGGCATAAAAATGAAAAAGTATAGTTGAAGAAAAATTGAATGGATGTGGAGTTGGAGAAGAATGAAAAAAAAGAGGGAAAAAGAGAGGAGGAGAGCTTACCGCATAGAAAGGACAGGGAGAAAGCTTCCATCGCAGATGGCGTGTCCCCGGGACTCGGCCCGAATATATCCTCCCTTGATTCCAGCCCAGGCCAAGTTCGTCGTCGCCGCCGCTGCCGCCATATGTCTTACTCGCTTCCTGCCGCTCGTTGAGAGAGATAAGAGATGACAAACAAATGAAAAAAATTGGACAGACAATTTGTTATCTGCACAGGCATTTTCGTTTGGGAATAAAGGGGAGAGGAGAAAGGGAGTGGGGTGGATTAATTCAAAAGTAGGGTGGGTTAGAAAGAGGGGTGGGTCTTTTTATGATGTGTAGGATGGTGTGTACAATGCTGTGTACACATAGCATTTTCCTTGCATTTATCTTGATGCTCTCTACCTACTGCTTTATTCATACTACCCCCGTCCCATTTATATTGGGACGGAAGAGGGTGACACAGTTATTAAGAAAAATGAGTTTGTGTGGTTGATATTAATTGATAAAGTAGGAATAAAGTAAGAATGATTTAGAGGCACATAAACTTTGCCAAATATGGTATGAGACAATTTAATTGGGACTTCCCGAAAAGGTAAAACGAGACAATATAAATGGGACGAAGGGAGTAGTTAAGATAAGACGTACACAGTAAAATATACTCCGTACTACCTTCGTCCCACTATGTTTGGGAAAAAGGAGTGTGACACAATTTTTAAGAAAAAGTGAAATTGTGTGGTTGATATTGAATTGATAAACTGTGAATAAAGTAAGAATGAATTGTAACCACCCAAACATTACCAAATATGATACTACCTCCGTCCCATATTTATCTTCATAGTTCGGTTTACGATGTTTGACTGACGATAAAGCAACTCGATCCCTGTTCACACTCGGATTATTTTTAGTAAATAAAATTTACATATTCAGAAACTACATTAAAACCGCTACAAAGCCTGATCAAGAAAATTTAAGTTTGACAAAAATTTGATATATAAAGTAAAAGATTAAGAGTAATTTGAGTTGACCATGTGAATAGTAACTATGAAGATAATTTTGGGACGGAGGGAGACAAACGAAAAAGGGGTATGAGACGGAGTATGAGACAAACTTAATGGGACAGATGAAAAAGGTAAAATGACACATTACCAAATATGTATCTACTCAGCATATTACTCCGATCCTATACACATTTTATCTTCCAGCCTATTACCCCCGCATAGATTATACGGAGTCGATACATGCATTTTTGGAGTACAATTTTATGCCTCTAGAATACTATTCTGTAAATTCAGTTTTCCCACAAAAATATCCACTTTGTCTAATATATACAAACTAATATATATTCTCATCATTTGAATTCAGTTTGTCTTACGATCATTCAAAGAAGTAAATAAGTGACGAATCCAATTATACACTAGTAGAAAAATGACCTACGATATATTGTAAGAGTGACACAAAAAATTATCACGATACATGCTAACATGCTATAAGTCACAAAAAGTTAGCAATGACAACATCAAATTTATTGTCACCAATGAAACACAGTGATTGATGATGCTATAGGATCACTACAAATTGTGATGACACACATTTGACATTAAATTTAGCGGCACTACCGCATTATATAATTTTCAGAAAAATATCTTTAGTATGGCTAAAACACATTCACTTTTCTAAATCTATGACCTCATAAGTTTTTTCCGAAACAATATTCGAATTCGTAATATTTAATTAATAAATAAATAAGTAAATTATATAATTTTTATGGACTAATATGCAGTCATATTGATATTATAAAACTCTAACTTCCTACTCATTTCTTAAAACTCTAACCATAAGCCGATCGCCTCTACTCTCTCGTTGCGACACCAGCCGACTGCTAGCCTCATTGTCGCGGCACCCGTCTCACCTGTCACCGCAGCCATTCCCATGCGCCGTAGTCGTCTCCATATTTGCTTGTCACTGCCGTCCTCATGATTGCTCATTGCGCCCGTCCCCATGACTACTCGTTGCGCCCATCCCCATGACTGCGCCGCCGCCGTTACCGTCTCCATGTCTGCTTGTCACGGACATCCTCATGTTTGCGCCGCCGCTGTCCCACGCGTCGCCACCGTCTACATGTCTGCTCGTCACCACGATCGTCCCCATGCGCCACAACAGTCTCCATGTCTGCTCGATGTGGCCGTCCCCATGCCTGGCCTGCTCGCCGCCGCCATCTTTATGCGTACACGCCTACTTGTCGCTGCCGCCTCCGTACCTGCGCGCTCACTGCACAATGTTGGAGACGAACCCTAGGTTGAAGACCATTGAAGACCGTGTGCATTGAATTCCAGAACAATGGGGGTGTTTGTTTTTCAGCATTTTCTGTCCAAAACGCTGCTGATATCAGCGTTTACAAGTTTAACCCAATGAGCAGTGAATGCAGTGAGTGACTTGTATCTAATGCAGTAGTGAATATGACAAGAAGTGAAATGATTATGACAAGAACTGTAGTGATTATGACAAGAAATGCAATAATTATGATAAAAAATGTGATTGTGATAAAGTGCACTTATCAAATCTAAAAAGAATTAAAAAATTATAAATTCCTAACATTTGAATAATGTCTTGTCATAACTCTTGCATGAAGTGCAATAACTCCGACATAATGTGCATTATATTTAATTGGAATTAAAAACGAAATATATCAAATCTAAAAAGGAAAAAATGAATGACAAATTTATATAAAATTTTCGTAATGCTTTAAAAATAAAATTCGTAACGTCTGCAATAATGCATCATAAAGTTCAATAAATGTCATGCAGTAAGCTTGCATAGATTGCAGTATTTTCAGACGAAAGTAGTGCAAAGTGCACCTTTTTATTAAGGATGGTTTCGTCCTTCAATGTTTTAACATGACAATATTTTTTCCCCGATTTTTAGTCATACAAATTTCTAAAAACAAAATTAGTCATATTCCGGTATACTCAATATGTTTTAGTCATATCCAGGGAAATTTCCCAATAATTTTAATGACTCTTCGGTATCATATTGATCGAAAGTGACACTATTACATAAGATAATACGATGTCACATTACTATCAATATATTTAGAATTAAATTTTGCATTTTTTGTTTTTGGTAGTTTCAATATCAATACTGTCATAACTTTTTTTGAAAATTCAATGAAAAAACATATATATCTAATGTCATAAACATTTACCAAATTCATACCATCAAATCCATCTAACATCAAGTACCATAAAACACTATACAACCTCATTCAAACCATATACTTTATCAGTGATCTCTGATCAAGCCTTCCATAAACACAAAAAGCTAAGTTCTACATCAAGTTATGGATTTAAATTCAGAGCATTAAACTTCACAAAAAGCTAGTTTAACCCTTTTAACTACATCGGGAGTCTTGATGCAGCTTTCCTCATCCAAGTTTGTAATGAAAAAAGAACATGTAAATTCAAAGTACACTTCACATTCATTCAAAAGTTACGGAAAAACACAATAATATAAACTCTTTGTTGCACCAAAGGAGCCACATAAGACACCCACTCTTCACGAACTTGTGATATCGTTTCTTTAGAATACTCCTCAATTCCACAATATTTCAATGCAAGTTAAATGCTTAAACATACAAATAAATTACAACACTATCATTTCAATTGCATTACATTACTAAAAGTTAACGTTGATCAGTAAGTTAACTTGTTCCTCACATTATTCTTCAAGAGGTTCATATCACATATGATATTCTTAATGAACTTCATATTTAAATATTCGCATTCTACACTTCCTTTTTGCTTAGGGAACTACAAAAAACATAAACTAGTAATTAAGTAATGAAAAATATTATGTGATAAAAATCCATTGAATTTAGTGACTATTCCATCACTAATTGGTCTAACTTGATTTCAGTGTATGAGACTTTGATGAAATACTTCAAGTAGTGAGTATTAATTAAACACGCATTGTATACAAACATCATATTTATTTCCATCAAATGCATCAAGATTTGGCCATATATTGTCATATATAATGCCTTAATTCTATTTAACATAGCTTGTTTAAAAAACTAACAAAACCCGTTAAGTTTTTGTTTATTTATTACCAATTAATTGTGTTCATTGAAAACTAAATCAAAATCAAACATATTAAAATAGTCTACTATTAAACGATACTATTGATCTTGAATTGATTGTTGATCAGTTAAGTATAGTAAGATAATTGTAAAGTCAATTGTGATTTTGCTACATCTCGCTTCTCCAATTGAATCCAAGTAATAGGTCATGCCCCTTGTGATGTCAATAGCAACCAACACCCAATGAACACTACGCATACATAACATACTAGCAAGGTTAAAATCACCTAAAAAATACTTAAGTGTGCTAAAGAGTAATACATATAACTTACCCTACATTTAATGGGATTAGTGTGATCTGTCCTAGCAAACCTACTCCCAATATATCTGCTATGATTCTTCATATTATTTTTCTGCCCGAGGAATAGTTGCAGATGTACCAAATTGCACAAGAATTTCGCCTCCATTATCGACCAATTTCTCATGTTGGTACCTATATTTTGCAATAAGTTGTGAAAATGATTCACAATACTGATATATAGTTGGGTACAAGAAAACTAATTGCATACATAGGGATTAGCTTGTTTGTACACTTACTTGTATCACAGTTCTATGACATAATTGTTAACCTTCACACAATTCAGAACAGAATTGAGCTTTCCTTGTTAAAGACAACTTTGGTTGGAATCCAAACACCTTAGCGTCGTCATGTTTTACCATGTAGCCATTTCCCATGCACTTCTCAACTAATATCGAGAACGCTTTCATGTTGGCGCTTTTCTCTCTTTTTTTTTCTTCCAGAGACGTTGTTGTTCTTTTCATTTTTAGATTTTCTCACGGGTCCTGACTTTTGTTTCATTGAGGACTACTTTCTACTTCCACGACTTCATCCCTGTCATCATATGACTCTGCACCTATACCTTCAGAAGCATCATTCTGAAATTCAAAAAACATTCATTTTGGAAATTTAGTCGGTTCCCAACCATTATTCTAGTCACCCGTTGACATTGCAGTCAATTTGGTACTTGAATTGTTTTCCTTTATTTTCTTTTCTGTTTCTTTTAATTTTTAATACACTTCTTTTATGACGAAGTGTTGAAGAGCTTCCTTCAACTAGCGATCTAAAAATTGGTTTCACTCTTTAAGGATGCTTCCAGCCAACGCCTACGAGGCTACGACCAAACACCCCCCCTCCTCATCACAAACG